CATCAACCACTGCTATGCAGATCATTTAAGATATGTCTAGGGTAGTCTCCTTTGAGTTTATTGATAGATATAGTAAGTGCAAAATAAATATTGTCTAAGGTTCTTTCCAATGCTCTCAATATCTCAATGCTCTTCTTCATCTTTGGCCCTGGCCTGAAAATTCTTTCTATATTTAGGGTTGATACATATATAACATTTATGATTTAAGTGAAGCTGTTTTTTATTTTTCCTTTTATGTTTGTTATTAATCCTCACCTGAAAATATTTCCCATTGATTTTTTAGAGAGAGTGAAAGGGAAGGAGAGAGACAGAGAGAGACAAAAAACATCATTGTGAGAGATACACATCCATTGGTTGCTTCCTGCATATGTGACAAGGGCTGGGAATCAAGCCTGCAAATGAGGTACATACCCTGGACCAGAATCAACCCCAGACCCTTCAGTCTGTAGGTCGATGCTCTGTCCCCTAAGCCAAACTGGCTAGGGCTGTTTTATTTATTTATTTATTTTTAAATATATTTTATTGATTTTGTACAGAGAGGAAAGGAGAGAGATAGTTAGAAACATCGATGAGAGAGAGTCATCAATCAGCTGCCTCTTGCACACCCCCTACTGGGGATATGCTCGCAACCAAGGTACATGCCCTTGACCTGAATCGAACCTGGGACCCTTCAGTCCCCAAGCCAACGCTCTATCCATTGAGCCAAACCGGTCTCGGCTTTTTTTTTTCCTTTTTTAAAGCTACCTAAATATAGGTATTTATTGGTTTTTAGTGAGAGAAAGGTGTGCGCGCGTGTGTGCGCACACACACACATACACACACACATACACATTGATGTGAGAGAGAAATATCAGTTGCTTCCTGTATGTGCCTTAACAAACCCACAACCTAGGTATGTGCCCTGACTGGGAATCAAATCTGCACCCTTTTGGTGTATGGGACAACAAATTAAACCTCCCAGCCAGGGCTCAAATGAAGCTGTTTCAATCCACTTGTTTATGACAAGGACAAAAAATAAGATTTTTTATTTGTTTGTTTGTTTTGTTTTGTTTTTTGATAAGTAAAGTTGTTTTGATGTGGGAATGAAGTAAGTTGAGTCAGGATGGTATTATCATATCATCTGTTAAACTTTATAAGCACTTAGCAATGCAGAGTGGCCCCATTGGAAACTTACTGATAAGAACATGTAGAGATAAAAGAATGGTAAGGGGACATTTAGATAATAAATACTAAGAGTTTGTGAAGACTATTTGAGTTTCAGTCTGGGCAGGGCACACGTTGCTGACCTAAGTAGTACTCTGAAGATCTTGATACATTGCTCCTGACCTGTCCAAGGTGACTGTTGGCAGGGGTGCTAAACCACATCAAGGTCTCTGGAGTAATAATCCTCAGAGCAGCCTATCATGTTCAGCAACACCATCGCCTTCCTTTCCCTAGCAATGCGCTCCAGCAATGAGGGGCTTTCGTTTTTGCACTGACAGGAGGATGTCAACTCATGGTTGGTCAAAACTTCTCCCAAGAAACCAAACTTACATACGAGTAAAAAGTGCACTTTTATTAAATGTGGACTTTATTTTATAAAAAAAAAATATTTTAATAAATTTTTAGAGAGAGAGGAAGAGGGAGAGAGAGAGAAACACTGATGTGAGTGAAACATCAATCGGCTGTCTCCTGCACGCTCCCTACAAGGGATGAAGCTCATAACCTGGGCATATGCTAACAAGCAACCTTCCGGTACATGGAAGACACTCTACCAACTGAACCACACTGAACAGGGCTGGGCTTTTATTTCTTTATCTCCTTTTGCCTGGAATGATTGTACGATTAAATCTGTCATTTGGATGGAATATATTTTTTTTTCTATCTTGGCTTGTTAAGAGATATTATCCTGTATGCTAGTGGCTTATGAATTATTATAATCCTCACTATGAACCTGTGCTAAATAAATTGTTGGCAGACAACAGTCTCTGAGTATAATTTTGCAACCAAAAACAAAATGTAGCAAAACAATATACAAAATACATGGAAAGTGGTTTATCCATAGTCCAGGTTCACACCTATGAATCTCATATTAACCTAACTACATAAAATGTATATGGGGATTTAGAAATCATCTAAAATGTCAACAATCCTTGGATAAAGTAGATTAATCTTTCATATGATCATTCTGCATTTGTGATCAAACAATTCTTTATAATAGAAAGAAGTAATACACTAAAGGGACCTAGAAGCACTGGCCTTTGTAATCTTGATTTTTATGAGTTTGAAAAGCAGAAAACTGTAGCATTAATTTACTAATTAAAGAGGAGTATGCTTATGTACTTATGTAAAGTCAGAACCTAGAATTAAAAAAAAATGTAAAGTGCCTATTATCTTTATTTGGGTTACTTGGACACATATCTTTGGATCATTTTATGCACATCCATTACTGAATACATTAGGAGAACAAAGGAAAACATTGGTTTCTCCCACCATATAAAGAAAATGTACTTTTATTAGTTGGAATATATTTCAAGTCACTTTAAAGAATTAATTCAGCTGTTAACACAGTCAAAACTTACTATGGTGTCAATTTGACCTCAAATGTAAGAAGTCAGAAAGATTCAAGAAATATTTCATTTTTGCAGTTTATCTCCCTTTTTCTAGAACAGAGATGACATTAAATTGAATTTCCTGTACTACACAGCCTACTGAAGGCAAGTTTCCAATGTAAATGACAACTGAAAGATTAGAAATGATATGGAACTAGGTTTTACATTTCCCTTTTCTCTTGGACTTTGGTACTGTGCAGAAATGACATTCACAGCTTTCTGTACTGTTTTTCCACAGTCGCTAGCATTATTCTGTACTTGTTTTGCCCTGACAATCCATCAAAGCAGGATTAGTTTAAATTCTTCTTGCCTTTCTTTCTACGCTCAATTGAACACAAATGATCCTTATCCCCTGATGATATGATTTTTAAGTGAAGTGTTCTTCTTGACATATTAAAATAAACATTGTACAGAGACTTCCAGCAACACAAAACATAATTATTGTTTATTCACAAGGGATCCTCTTTAATGGATACTGAGCTCATTTTGTAGTTTGTGGAAGCTTATGATAAATTAATACAACATAACATATATCTTCTTATTCAAAAATGAGTTTTAAAAAGCAAGAAGTCTTATTTAAGAGGAATTTTAGTGCAGGGTTGTGATGTATTATAGGTATATACTTATTATGACTATTACTCAAATGTTTTTATAGCTTCCAATGAAAACAATAAGACATGGATATTGAACACCAAGGTAGAATTTACTTCAAAATTAAGAGTGATTTGCTGAACAAAATGTATTCAATTATGTAAATAGAGAATAGAGATGAAGGATGCAAGAGATATTGAATACTTCAATTAAAATAAAATTATAATTAATTTTAATTATAAGGGGATTGATTAATATATTCAATGTCATGCCTGAACATCCTCATTTGAGCTATGCTAGAGCAATTGAATTGGGAGACGAGAGTAGGGAGTCCAGGAAGAATCACTCTGCAATTGACTCTAGGCTGGGGTTAGGCAATAAGGGTGAGACTTCTGGAAGACAATTTTCTTCCAACAGTTGGTGTCTTTCTGCATATTGCAGAATATCTAAACACTAGCTTGAAATTAATTTTCAAATCAATTAATTTACTTTTTATAATACAATCAACTAGGCACTTTACTAAAAGCAATGCTGTAATAGTTTTTAAATTCTAAATTTTATCTAAAATATTACTTATTTTAAGCAAAGACAAATATAAGTGGCATAATTGAAGTTCATAAGTTGTATCTGTAATAAAATATTCATTGTGAGACACTATAATATAGAATATCAAATATACCATATTTAAGAAAATACATATTTTACAATAAATATTTTTATATGCATATCTGTTATTGATATTTTTAAAAGGATAAAATGAATTATTTTCATTAAAGTCCAATGATAATAATTGTTATATGACATGATTCAGATGATTATAAAATATGTGACAAATGTGGATATTAATGTTCTCTAAAATAGTCTTTGATTCAAAAAATGCTTTAAATTGTCTTCTTTATCTATAGATGTAAAGAACTAAAACTAGCAGCTATAGAGATATTTTCAAATGCATAAATAATATCTTTTTTAAAATATATTTTATTGATTTTGTACAGAGAGGAAGGGAGAGAGATAGAGAGTTAGAAACATCGATGAGAGAGAATCATGGATTAGCTGCCTCCTGCACACCCCCTACCTGGGATATGCCCGCAACCAAGGTACATGCCCTTGACTGGAATCGAACCCGGGACCCTTTAGTCCCCAAGCCGACGCTCTATCCATTGAGCCAAACCGGTCCCGGTAATAATATCTTAAGTATAAGAACATTACCATTCCAACCACAATAAATAATCAATGAAAAGTTGAATTGTAGAATATAACACATATTGGATTCATTATATTTCATTATTTTATTAGACATTGAACCAATAAAAATAAAGATTTAAAACATTATATATAATCAAAAGAAAGTTTAATTTATGAAATTATTTAGTAGGTCATCTTATACACACATTCACATTCTATATGGGGTAGAACATTTTAATTAAAAAGATTAGAGCTAATTATATGACCAGCTCCACAGCGAGACGAACTATCACTATGTTACCGCCAATCAGCTGCTTGCTCCAAAATGGAAAAAAAAATGAATATAAAACACTTTTCTGACACAATAATTCATAGAAGGAATTGCTTTAGATTTCTTATATATGGTAAACATGTAGGAAATATGCATATAATGTTACAATTGAGATAAATGTAGATCTATAGAAAGACATTACTTGCTGTAATAATTGAGGCTAAAGTTTAATTACAATATAATTACTGCTCAATACATGTATAAAATTAAGCTTCACTGTATACATAATGCATAATGATATTTACTACAAACATTTTAGTAGAGAGAACAAGTAAAACTATAAAGATGTTTTCATCACTTACCTCTCTTTACATTTCTGCTTGTACTTGTTAACTTATCTGAAGGACACGGGCAATAGCCTTCACACCTGACTGAGATCTGTTTTCCTAAGACACAGGCCTGATATTCTAGTTTGCACTGTATAAGAAGAGAGAAAAAAATATATTTAATTAAACAGTAAAACATTGAGAAAGTGACAACAGTATGCTTGTGATTCTATCATGTATGCTATGGGGAAAGATAAATGAATGGCATAGAACAAAAAGAATTACACTTGAGCTAAAATCTTAATAGTGTCTCTTCTTCAATGTGACTTTTGGGGCTAGTATTTTAAATGTTTTCAGCCTCGATGTTCCCATATGAATAATTGGGATAACACCTAAACTACAGTGTTTCAAGAGTCAAACAGCAGTAGCAACCATGAGCCAGGCCCTCCTCAGTAAATGTTAACAAAGCTGAATAAAATTAAAAGTAAATGATCAAAATTACTAATGCACATAAAGATTTTTTTTTTACTTTAGTTTTGGTTTGGTTTGATTTTCTTTGTAAACATTACTCTTTGTTAGTATTCCAAGCCACAATATTCATAAATCATTTGTAAGATAATATTTTATAAATGCACATTTGATATGATTTTTAAAATTATAAAACTGCTCCATATTTTAAAGAGGCAATAACTATCTTCTTCCCCTAAAATAAATTGATCTTGCTAATTCTAAAGTAATGTGATTTCTTTAGTGGCTACCCCATAACTTACTCACTACAAATTATTTTAAGAAGAAATACTGCAGACTTTCTGGCTCCCATCGACAAATGAACCAGTGACTAATTTAATTCAGCTTCAGCTAATACCAAGAGCACTGAACCCACCCAATGACTAATCAGATTACTCACATCTGTACAGCATGTGTTTTTTTTCTTTGTCAAATAACTCTCCCTGGCAAAATTCTTAATTAGCCCTACAACAAATGATTAAAAATTATTGCACTTGAAATATATTTGCAATGGTTTAGTTGGCCTTTTTGGAGGAATAAGTTATTTCAAAGGTATCATTTTTTTAAATAATTTAATATTTCAATAATTAAAAATGATCTTGTCATGTAAAGTCACAATAAATTTTAAATGTAATTAATAAGTCCCTATAGCTAATCAAAAGTTAACATAGTTAAGAAATTGTGAGTGCTTTGGTGAAAGCCAAATAAGTTATATAAAACTTTGAGACTTTAAATTTAATATTATTTCCTGTAAATTCTTGTAACTTCATATTTCAGAACCCTGGATTTGGTCATAATAAAATTCTGACTCATGACATAATTTAAGAAAAGTTCAGCAGCAATTATAAGTGGCATATGAGCAGATAAAGTCAAAAGTCAATATTAATTGTAGCTAATATTAAATTTGAAAATGTTAATTCCCTTCAAAGCTGTTATTCTATACTCATTCACATTTTAAATGTGGTTAATTTTTAGCAGTGATATTTTTATTCAAGAAAAAGGGAAAGTTCAAGAAATACTTGAACAGCAAGAATACATGATCTATTAATTTATTAAATAGAGAAATACTTTTTTTTGCTCAAAAGTTGATCACTGATTATTTGTAATGTTATTAGACAAATAACAAGAAAAAAGCACAATCTTTATAAAATTTGATTTCATTATCAACTTTTACCTTTTGGCTAATTTTCTTTTTAAAAAAATATATTTTATTGATTTTTTACAGAAAGGAAGGGAGAGAGATAGAGAGTTAGAAACGTCAATGAGAGAGAAACATAGACCAGCTGCCTCTTGCACACCCCCTACTGGGGATGTGCCCACAACCAACGTACATGCCCTTGACTGGAATCGAACCTGGGACCTTTCAGTCCACAGACCAATGCTCTATCACTGAGCCAAACTGGTTTTGGCTGGCTAATTTTCTTTGACATAATTATAAATTCAAAATGTCAAAGCTGTCTTTAAGACTTGTGTATGATGAAGTTATAGCTCTGCAAAAAAAATTACTTCATAAGTGAAACAATTTTTCTTCACAGTGATTCTACTGAACTTTTTTTAATGTGTTTCTGTAGAAAGCAACAGAATCAGATGTATAGCAAATACACACCATGTGTATAGTTGTATGAATTTAGCTTCCTGAAGTCAGAAAACCATTTAGTTTTGTTTACTTGTTTACTTATGGATTGATTTTGGAAAAAAAATTGTGAAGAATATTATTCAAAGAATAGTAGGATATCAAAAGTAGTAGTATTTTAGAAATTTTAGCTGTTTCCACTGATTGCACTTCCAATTAATAATGTTCAATTTACTTAATTATCACAAAACTGAAATATTTATAAAGGTATAAGTGAAGCAAAATATCACATAAAGGGCATACTCATTAGTCTATAATTACCCCAAAATGCAAATACAGTAGAGAAAGACATGATTAATACATTCTTGATTAAGAACCTGGGTACTGAGAACACTTAAATTAAGAGTTATTGTGAAAAGCAAGCCTGCAGAATGATTTTTCAATAGTACATGCTGACACTTATCAGCAAAAGGAAGTTAAAGTCATTTGCTTTAATAACAATGAAAAAAAAATATGACCTAAAAAGGAGAGATCTGGACTGTTCACAAAAAAGACCCCAACAATCAGTGTCAGCAAACATTGGAAAGTCTACTGTTACAGGTTTTTATGGCCAGGGACTCACCATGGCCATAAAAACCTGTATAATTGATGGTATAATAGATGGCTTAAACCAGAGGTTCTCAGATAGGGGACATCTAGAGACTTTTGTTGTTGTTGTTGTTGTTGTTATTACAACTAGAGTATGGAGGGAGATCTGCTGGTGTCTACTAGATAGAGGTAAAAAGTGTTGCTAAACATCTTACAATGTGTGGATGACCTCCCCAAAATAAAGTGTTATCTGAACTCAGATGTCACTCATTTCTAGATTGAGAAGCTCATCTTTAGGCACTGGTCCACTGGAAGATAACGAATAGATTAACTCAACTCCCAAGATCTCTTTCCTTTTTCTTTAGGAATCTTTACTAGGGCCTTCACTAAAGTAGTACATATAAAATAAACCGAATGGCACAAATAAATTATCAGCTATAAGTTCTTTATGCAGAATAACCAAAAATAAAAATCAACTATAACTACAAAATATACAATTGATAAACAACTACTTCCTTCAGGTCACCACTATGTGTCAATCACTGTATTAAGCAGTTTTATCCATTACTTTGCTGATCATCAGAAGATTAGTCCTAGCTCCTACACAGATTCTTTGAGTATTGGAAAGATTATGTTCTTCCCTTGGACATTCAACTTGGTCGGACTGCTTTTAAAAGCCACCCAGCAAACTGCATGGCACCCCCTTCTTTGGGGCTCCACAAACCCAGTGAGTCAATTTCAGCTGTAAGTCTCTCTTGATACTTTTCAGATTCTGCTGCTGCTATTCCAGTTCCATCTGGCCACATCCTTGTGTTCTTTGTCACTAATTGGTGTCATATGGTTCACTTTTTGGACTATCCGTGGTTGGACAACTGTGAAAACTTTTATAAAAAAAACTATTCAATAATGGGCTGACAGGCAAGGTATATAATTCCCCTCCCATGTTCCTTATTGTCCACAAGCATCTGATATTTGCAAGCATTGGGATGGTCTCTTCGAAAAATCTACTGAAAACTATTTCAGAGTCTACCTCCCTCACTTTAGTGCAGCAGCTTAGTCAATGAACATCTCTGTATCCAGAAAGGGAACATACTCTCTCATCTGGTTCCTGGGGAATTAACAGAGTGGAAAGAGGTTATGGGTACCTATTTGAAACATTCAGGGCTTCTCTTTCATTCCCTTAACAGTAATTGCAGGCTGGTCTGTTTGCTGTACTCTCCGAGTGGCAGCCTAAGCAAAGGAGATTTGGGAAATCAAACTCAATTCTGGTTCAGCCACCTGGCTTCTCTAGTTGAATTAGCATGAAATCTGATCACCCTGCTCAGATTTTCTTGACAGTAGTCCATGTAGGCCAAAGCTGGGAACATAATATAGTTAGTTTGTTACAAGAATGCTTTTATAGAAATGGCACATAGTTTTCATGGTTAAATATAATTTTCTTCTTCCTTTTTGAAAATAAATGATGTATCACTGTACATGATTATTTCCTTACCTATAGGTGTGCATTTAAATATGTTAATAATGAATTAGTAAATTAAAAAAAACACTAAATTATTCAATGTATTATATTTCATGTACATCCAATATTCGGAGGATAAAGTAAATCCAGGATTAAATAACAAAATAATTATAATTTATTTTTACTCAATATTTTCTAAGAAATATTTAAACGTTATGATAATTCAGTGATTATTTCTAATTTTTCAAATTCAACTGAAAAATATCATATTTCACATTTACTTGGTAATAATATTTACTCCAAACATGTAATATTTACAGTAGAGGAGCATATTAATTAATTTCTCCTGAATTAGTTTTTTTTTTTTAATTGATCTTAGAGAGAAAGGAAGGGGGAAAGAGAGAAACATTGCTCTGCTGCCTCCTGCAGGATGAATTGAATCTGCAATGTGCCCTGACCTGGAATTGAACCTAGACCTTTTGGTTCACAGGATGAAGCTCCAACCAATCGAGCCACACTGGCTAGGGACTGAATTAATATTTTCAGATTGAGAATAAATTTCTCTCTCAGTCAACTTATAAGGAAATAACTGATGCCCATAGCAGCTGGAGCACTTTAACTCCAAACTTTCTCATTTCTGTCAGATGAGTTTCATGCTTACCACTTTTTGGTCCCTAAAATCAGTTCAAATATATTAATAACTATATAATCTTATTAAATATGACTTAATATGATCAAATATTAAGACAAATTAAAAGGCTGGGTTTCCATGAAACATTGCATGGCCTACTAATATAGTCAATGAAGGTGTGCTATTATATATAAAAAAGTTTGTGTCTAAATAAATGTGTAAAATGCATCTGAAAGACCAGGAATACAGTTTTATAAGTTATGAAATATTATGCCCTTAGTCTGCTTTGCAAAATACCTTTTAGCTTCTTGTTACATTTTAAATGGAAATTTTAAAAATTCATATTTTTCCAATAATAAAGAAAATAGAGTATCTATTTTGTGCATTGATATGTCAGTGAGGGGATAAAATTAGAGAGTGTTGGAAGCCAAATCAATGTAAGGAGAGAAAAAGTTTTCTGACAATTAAAAAGTCTAAAAAAATAGACATTTATCTCACAGAACATGATATCTTATCAGGGACTTGCATGTTATATAGAATTTTGTCCTAGATGTCCTATTGAGTTCTTTCCAAATCTGAGTTTTTTATGATAAAGTTAACTCACATTATTTCTTTTGATGCTCAGTGATTTAATAAGAGCTTATCCCAGCGATTCTGGTAATATGCTGGTGTTGTAATCTTGATCAAGTTGGCATAACCAAGCAAAATCAAAATGTAGCTTTTGTTGAAAAGCAGTTCAAACAGAAATAGTGCACATATATTTCTGACTGTTGATCTTCCAACATAAAATTATCTCAGCTCAGACAAAATATTGAAGAGAAGGTAGACAGGACCATTAAACACCCAATACAAATAGATGTAACATCAAAATGGTGATGTGAAAGAAATTTTCTATCTTTCAAAAAAGTACATATACCTATTAGAATCAGGAACTATTATTAAAAGAAAGCAATAGAATACCTCAAATATGGAAAACAGTTAGTGATGAACAAATAATAGGACAAAGCTGAAACTGAAAATGGAATTTTCTCAAATTGCAATAAAAGGTAAATGGTTCTTATTTAATGCTAAACTTATTGTTCTGTTTTATATTTTTTTAACTCTCATATTTAAGATTTCAAAAGCAATAGTTCTTCTCAATCATGGGAATGTGTAAAATTCACACAGGGAGCTTGTAAAATTCTGATTCTCAGGGCCCCACCCCAAACAACATAAGTATTGACTCTGGCACCAGTATAAAATTATAAGCTTTCTGTTTTCCTTCCCTAAACACACACACACACACACACACACACACACACACACACACACACACACACAGATATTTCTTATAAGCAATGTTATGCCTAGGAATTCGCCATTATTAGGTTCAATTGGCAAGAACTCCATAAGTAAATATGATAGAATCAAGTGTTCAAAATCATCCAACATGTTGTTCCCAGGGCATTTATGTTACAGATGCCCAGCTGAGTTCTAGGACATTCGTATTACTTATTGACTTCTGCTCAGCAAATGCAGTATACAATTTATACAAGTCAGTGACAAATATATCCACGGTCTAACACAGATGCTGTATCAGAGAACAATTGTTAATTCTTACTAAAGCTTGACAATATAATCAAAATAGAATTTGCCTGAAGTAAGGAAACAAAGACCTTCATCCTTTGTGTCAATTTCAGGAGTGATTACCTCTCCAATTAACCTTAAACAGACTTATGTTTTGATTTTTTTCTGGCATTACTGAATTTACAAGAATTCAAAATAGATTGGTTCTTTGAAAAAGAAAGATTAAGTCACTTCTTAAAAAAGGCAATCACTTTTTTTTTAATAGGAAAATAAAACACAGATAATATTACAAAAATACTTCTCTTGAAAATTGCAAAAGTCTCAATATTTTTCCAAGTAGATCTATTTTTCTATAGTTCATCAGTTCCTTTTTTTTGTTTCTTTTTTGTTTTGTTTTGTTTTTGTGTGTATGTATACAGCTCTAAATACCCTGCTTAGGATTTTTAGACAAACTGACAAGTTTAGGTTTGAACTCTAATAAAATAATTATTCAAAATTGGTCCCATTGTGTGATAAGACATAGTTTCTAAAATTATATCCGAGGACTATTAGGTCATTTGCCTGAAGTCTTCATTTGGGTAACCTCTGTCTCAACCCCTCCCTCAGCTCCTGGGTCTGCTATACTTTGTAATGACATCACCTTCACCTACATTGTAGAGTGGAAATATAATTTGCAATTTCTACTCTTAAATTGAGCTGAAGGTAATGAGGGAAGATTGTGGGTCTAGAATAGAACCGATAGGAATATTCTTTATAATAGCAAAAATACAAAAATCCCTGCATACCGGTGCTCCTGCAGATACAGAACCACACTAAGACTGGAGAGGACTGGGCTTCCTTCCTAGATGTGGGGCCGTACTCCCTGTGCTGAGAGTACCTGGCTCCTGACTAATCCTTATCATGTGAGGATTACTCACCTGAGGGATTAGAAGCTTTGAGCAGGAGCTTCATGGACCACACTGGGTTTAGGATTTGGAGCTCACCATTATTGGGAGCTTAAACGCCTTCATGTCCCAAAAAGCTATTCATTTAAACTTGCCGTGTAGAACAAAGTTGCTTGTAGAACAGAGTTTGCTTAGTCTAACAACCAAGTTGAGTGACCCAGAAGCCAAAGAAAGACCCTGTGTCCCCTGCACTAATCTTTTATTCTTATCTCTTGGAAAATAGATCCTGGAAAAATAATACAATGACCTTCTCACGAAGGACTTCCTCTGTGGGCACTACTCCACTTACAAGGGGAAAAAAAAGTTGAGTGCCTTACATTTAAATCTAATAAACATCTACAAAGTAAACTTCTAATAAACTCTAAAAAGGAGAGTTTGATATAAGTTCTTACTGGGCTAAGATCTTTATTCAGTTTTCATTGTTTTCTACAGCCTCACTGATATCAGTGCACACATGTAAGATTAGGATTAGCGATCCAAGGTGGAGAAATCACTGAGTTAAGTTAGAACCAATAGAAAGGAAGATGGTGACTTGGGGTTATTAACAACTCACATTCATTTGAACCATGCTCCTCATATGTCTTCTTATGTAAATGAGGCATTTATTGAAAGAGATATATATATATGCAAAAATATTGACTTAATTATTCAAGAATGGATTGTTCAAAATAAATTTATTGACAATAATAATAAGAGCATATGGTTTGTAATCTGGGCTTCAGAGTGTGCCCGATAGAAAGGAGAACAATGGGGAAACCCCATGGGATTGGAAATGTATGGGAATCAATCTACATGTGATAGGTATATTTAGTTTCAAGCAGGAGTATGCTAATTGTTTTTCTCTAAAATCATCAAACAATGCTTCCCATATGGTCTCAACAGATGGAAATCACTTGTGAGTGTAACTCTGTATACTTTGAAACGAAATTGTGAAATAACTGATCATCTATTAGTAGCATCCTGAAGAGAGCTCCAAACAAGCAGGTGCTAGACTAATGCTAGCCCTCTCCAGGGACTATGGTGTTTGGATACAAACATGTCAATTCTGCCGGCACATATGTTTCTACTGTCGAGAAAGACATGCATCTGCCTCAGCTGGATGCCGGTAATAAAGCCAATCTGTCTCATGATGCAACTTGTTCGGTGATCCATCTTATCAAATAAAATTATGATTAAATTTGGCTTCCCATGTTACTCTACCTACCAGTTTGAATATTATAAGATGCATCCTTATTTGTAATTTAACAAATTAGTATAATGATTGGCACACCCTCATCCTGTGGAATGTGATAATATGAGATAGTCATTCTCCCTGGTGCTGACAGCATAAATTTTCTAAGCCTGCAAAGCTAATATTCACCAAGATCAAGGTCATATTGCAAAAACCAGTGTCACACTCCCTTCTCTCCTAGCAAGAACTACACCATTATATACATCTTATAACTTTATCATGTAGGTATATGGTGGTTTAATTAAGAATACATAGTACTTGGCACCCAGTAAGTCCTATGGATATATTTATTGATTGAATTAATAAATCTTATCATTGTAGTGCTCTTATCAAGATTAGAAACTATAAAATGCAAGTGGAAGTTGTAGGAAAATATTCACCAAGACAAAGTATGGTTCATAAAGAGTTACCCACAGAACAAAATGTTCAAATAGCCCCAAATTTTTGGAACTTACCTTGCAAGAAAGAACTGAGGTGGGGTTATTTTTTATATATATATCCTATTTAATGTGCATATTCATAGGGTTCCTTAAAAATATATTAGTGTATTTAATTATAGGGTAAGGCCCCACTAGGGATACTACATATTATGCTTTTAAAACATATTTTACATAACAATACACGTGTATGTATTTCCAAAGTTTCAACTAAGAGGTTGTGAGTCCATATTCATTTGTCACATAAAAAAAGAAAAAACAACAATTCATCAATGTCTTATTAGATACAGTTCTTAAAAAATTCAAAATATATATGTATATATAAAATACTAATATGCAAATTGTCCCCTCGGGAGTTCGACTATGAGAATGGAAGTTAGATCGCTTGCTATGATGAGTGTTGACCATCAGGGGGTGGCATGGAACATGGCAGATGACCAGCAGTGGTGGCAGGGTGCTGAGGAAGTGAGGGAACGAGGAGGCAGGGAGGCAGGGAACCTGATTGACCCTGATCACAGGCCAGGACTAAGGACCTTATTTATGCATGAATTTTGTGCACTGGGCCTCTAGTATTTGAATAAAATAAGGTGGCAGATTAATGTAGAAGAGAGGACACTGAATCAGAGAAAACATTAAATTTTATTATTTTTCTCATCCCTAGATTTTTCATTTGTTAAAAACAAGTTTTGGAAGCTTAAAGTAATATAGAAAATAACATGAGATAAAAGTAGTAATGATATTGACAGATTGCACCTCTATTGATATAATAATAATATTAACATTATTATATACATGGTAATAATTTCTGGTCTCTTTCTGATCTCTCTCAGCAATTAAGATAATGTTGGTATTAATTTTTGAGGGTTTAGAGTGTTGACAACTTCAGCATTTCAAACTTTAAAAATTCTTATATAGGGGAAACAAATAGACATTAAATCATATTTCAAATCAGTGAGATTATCCACATTATTTCAAGTTAAAAATTGTTTGATCACATTAGAGAACTAATAGACCTACACACTTAGTCATAAATCTGAGTTATGTATTTTATACCAAACAACTATAAGATTCTTTACCTGTGAAGAGTAGGTGTGACCGTCTGAACCACAAACAGGGCTAGAATAGACCATTGGGCATTGTTTGCAGGTGGATGATACTGGGCCCCTCCATTGCTTACGGCCTACTCCTGCATCTTTCATACTGTTAACAAAAATAAAACAACCAAACTTAATGCATTTATTTAAAACCAAATACATTTATACTCACATCACACATTTCCACTGTCACTCCAAATCTTGAAGTTAAATTAGAATCATAAACTATTTTTCTCCTTTACCACTTATTAACCTGTACAGTGTCCTTCATTATAATCTTTTGTTTCATATATCAAGGTCCTTACAATAAAATAAGAATATATTCCTTAAAATATTCTGCTAATTACATATGGACTAGTTATATTTCATTATATGGATAATTTGTTTTAATTTATACTTTGACAAATTTTTAATAGACCGAGAAACAAAAATTGCTCAGCAATAAAGGACTCATACAACTGAGACTCCCTAATAGCACCCTAGTATTTTGTCAGGAACAGTCTCAGAAGACAGACACTAATCCACAGGAACCCAATGTGCCTGAAAAGAGAAGCAGCTTACTTTAGAGGACAGAGCTATCCCAGCACCATACCTTTACAAAAACCAATATTTAGAAAGCCAAATTAGTAGGTTTAGTGATAGCCAGTCTGCTTTTTATTGTGTAGGGATGCTTCCAAATAGATCCATTAGCCTTTGATCTAGAATGACTTAGGGAAAAGCCATACTCTTCCGCTATCTTCCTTTACATTTATTGTTTTTTCCACTTTGATTAAACTGCATTATTGCTCTGTCTGTAACGTGTGCATAATTTACATAGAGCTGGTTAGTAAAGGGCCTAAAACTAAGAATATTTAGAAATACTCTAGTAAATCAGTACTCATTCATTAAAGTTGTTTATAGAGGGTACTATCCTTTCTATATCATGAAGGGAAAAGATGATTTACTAGACATATTTGCTTATTTTTTTTGCTTTAAGTTTTATTTTCATTTAATAAGTTAAACACAAAAAATAGCAATCCCAAGACTATTAAGAAATATATTAAGGATCTTCATTATAGGAAAAGAAGTTCAGACTATATACTTCAAATTTAAAAATGCTTATTGCCCTGGCCAATATGGCTCATTGGTTGGGCATCATCCCATGCACCAAAGTGCTGCCCATTTGATTCCTGGTCAGGGCTCTGGTTCAGAAAAGGGGGTCATAACAGGAGGCAGCAGATGGATGTTACCTTCTCACATCAATGTTTCTCTTTCTCTCCCTCTCCCTTTTCCTCTCTCTCTGAAAATCAATTAAAATATGTTTTAATGTCTATTATTTTCTCTTCCCCCTCCTCCCTGCCTCCCATCGCTTGTCTCTCTCAAGATTTTCATAAAACATATCATAATTACAAATGCATTTTCTTAATTTCAATTTTTTAAATACTGCCAAAAGACCACTTTAAAATCTTGTGTGGCCAGAGTCCACATTGTAAGAGATACAAGGGAAAAAGTAACCATGCTGCTATTACTCATTAATTAATTGTTACAAAATTCTAATGGAAAATTAAAACAATGACTGGAAAACTTGAAGCAGTATTCTATGCCATTTCAAAACCTACAAATTACAGAAATGGAGTAGAGAGGAATAAAATATAAAATATTCTACTTGCATTTTTCTTTCACTTTCCGTAATCAAAACGAGGCATAAAATTATGCAAATTATCTGCTTTTCACATACCTCAGGAGTAATTATTACCAAGATCAGGATTCTAAGCAATAGAAGGTATTTTATCAGAACTGGATATATGTATATATTTTGCTTTGTAATACATATCTATATCTATATCTATCTATCTATGATATTTATTATATACACATATACTATATTCTGCAATTCAAGGCACTTTGTAGTTTCACACCAATAATACACATAATTATGTATCTAATAGCTGAAAACTATTATAAACTAATAAAGATGAATTTTACTGTTGCTAGTGCTTCTTTGCAGGACTTGTTTTGAGGCAGTTGAGTCATACCATCTTTTTGTTCCCTGTGCTACTTTCTTGTCTTCCCACTTTCCCTTTCCTTCTGATCCTCAGTGTGAATCTTCAGTATTAGTCATGTAGGAAAGCACATCAGTCTCTTAATTTTCTAATAGTTACAATTTAATTACAGCTACATCTGTTAAATCAAGTATGATACTTGGTTTTATGTTTAGTTAATCATGTTGTGCAATTTAAAAATATAATTTGAACATGATTTCCACATGTTAGGATGTACATTGATTTTGGGAAGACTATAAATGATGTTACCAAAATGATTAGCAGAAGAAAAATCTCATTCCAATTTGATTTAAGTTTCATATGTGAGCATGTTATTTATTAGTCTTGGCAAGTCAGAAACCTCCCTAGGTGTTAATTTATTCATTTATACAATGCTAAGCTTCATTAGTATGGATCATTGATCCTGAGAATTCCATGAGTTTATAAATTCTTAATAAAACTGCTAATATGGAGGCACTCAACAAAAATTAGAAGCACAGACACTGTATATTGGCTATATACTATAATTTTAGAACTTGAATTACTGTTATAAGGTGAAACAAATATTTCAGTATGGTGTGCAGGATGATGTTGAGTGAGGCAAAAGATTTTTAGGAATGCTGAAGTTGCAAAACTCAGCTATCTCAAGGTGGTAAATGAAAGATAAGGAAGGAGCCCTATCTTGTGATAACTAATGGAAAAGGGAAGATAAAAAAAAGGTTGTGTTTAAAGAGGCATGCTTTTCACAAAAAGCATACTTAATAATAAAATAATACTTCTATTATATCAAGGGGCATTGTCAATAAATCATAAAGATAATTATTTCATATTACTTATTTCTTCTAAAATCTTGCAGTTTCTGGGTCTGATATCACATACTATACCCAGTCATTCTTTAGCCATAAATATACAAGCCAAATAAAATACTAACTTATTTCTTAGGTATTTATCTTACAAGGGAGACATCAGTACCTAATTCCTAACTTTGTAGGTGTATTTGCTTCTCTCACCATGTGCCTATATTAACGTAATTCTTAACGACTTTCTTCAACAGAAGAATTTGATTGTAGTCTGATAAAAACAGCATTCAAAAGAATAGAAATATTCTGTGAAAATCTCAACTAAAGGCAATCTGAAGTATTTCTTGACTTCTCAATACATCTAACATTTTAATTCCTTTAAGCAATCATGTTTCTTGCTGTTGTTTTTTTGTTTTGTTTTGTTTTTTAAGTTCTGCCTGAGTTGTGGAGAAATTCTTCCTTGAGACACAGCTACTAAGTCATGTTTTCTTCCCTATGGGCTATAACTCTTCAAGAAATAAGGCTGCCCTTACTTTTTCATAAGGGGCCTTAGGAAAAAAAATAGTATAAGTGCACTAAATTATCTTTTGGAGCAATAAAATTAAAATAAATTTAGCATGCTCTATTAAACATGATCTATTTAACAGAATTTATTAAAATGATAGTGACCACAATATGCTTTATATAGTTTCTCTACTTGGTATGACAGTAATTTGACCAATGAAAATAAAATAGATGATCTATTGATTTAATTTTAAGTAAAAGAGATACCATAAGGAGAGGTCAACCAAAGGACTTGTATGCATGTATACAAGCCTAACCAACAGACACAGACAACAGGGGGGTGAGGGCATGAGTGTGTGTGTGGCGGGGGATAAGGGCAGTCATAGGGGAATAAGGACACATATGTAATACCATAATCAATTAAGAAATTAAAAAAAATAAAAAGTAAATCTTAAGTCATACTAGACAATATCATTAAATATATAAAAATGAGCTAGCACAGCTTATTCTGCAATACGAATAGAGAATCTACTTGCTCTATATATTTTACAAAAAACAAAGATTTACCATAAAAGCCTACTTATAAACATATTTTAAAATACAATGATAGAAGAAAATAAAATACAGTGTTAGGAATGATTAATAAAATGTATCTTTGAAATCTATTCCTAACATAAATTAAATTAACAAGTGAAAAAAAATGATAGCATAGCTGCTTCAAATTTTATTTAAAGCAGCTTCACTACCACCAATAAATGTTGCCTAGAGACCATACCTGGCTAATGAAAGCTGAAATTTACATGGTGTAATAAGTAGTACAATACCATATATGTGATTCTGATTTAGAAAATCAGTACAGAGAAATATGTGAATTAATTCTATTAAATGTGTTGACAGGTATATTTCACTCCAGATCTGAGCATATTAATATGATTGCTAAGTCTACATTGTATGACATTGTATATTCAAAATAAAAATCCTGAAATTTTCAATTATTTATGTTCACAGATAAAGCAAACTTTCAACCATTAACTGTGAAGTTACTTTAACCTTAAACAATTCTATAATGTCAGCACTGAGCAAAGAATGACTAAAATTTGAGTTCACAAAAATGTGTGAATCTTAAAGGTCAAGGAGATTCTATATTTGAAAAAAAATGTGTTCACATTTAAAAAATAACAGTGACAGATATGCAGCTAAAAAGGAAAAATATTCTACCTGAAAGAAAATGACACTGAAGCAAAGCAACTTTTACCAAAAGATACGAGAAAAGACTTATTATTCAAAATAGTTTTAATATATAAAAAATATGTCTTGATTATGAAACATTCATTTGATTTGTTTGTTTTTCTAAACAGAAGCAAATATTTTCACTACTGCTCAATAAATAGACCTGAAAGCTTTATCAGAAGCATTCAACCATTAAATATCACAATTTATTTAAGGAAACAATCCTTAAAGGTCATCCCAAACTCAGGAAAGGGAAACAGAACTTTTTCTCCATGTCTTGTCTTCATGGAAGTCATTGCTACTGGCCTCCTCCTTAACGGAAGTCATTGCTACTGCTTCATGGGAAAAGGAAAGTTATAGAAATTAGAGAGGATAAAGAAAGCTGGCACATTTTGCTTGAGTCTGATTTATAGATGTCGAGAAAAGATGAAGAGTACAAAATCTTCTCTATACATGAGCTTTCACAATATTTTTCAAGTTAATTAGTAAAATTCAGATGTCTTAAGTTTTTTTTCTCCCAACCAGATTTTAATCATTTTATTTTATTTTTT